TTCAGCCGAACGCTATCCAGCCCCACTTTGTCGAGGATTAGCCTCACCTTGGGTTCCTTCGCATGATACCATCGCAGGTGCAGTTTACGGAGTTCCTTTCTAACGACATGAGGTTCGTGACGACGGAGATTTTGCAGACTGCGTTGGATGTCGAATCTCGTCCAGTCGGGTAGTCGTGGAGCCCCAGAGCCGGTAGAGGCAAGAAGGTTCCTTGTGGCTCTCCGCAGTCGGTCTCCTTCGTCGACTGCATCTGGAGGTGGTGGTACACCTTGTAGGCGGCCACGACGGGCCGCTACCTGTGGCGCTTCGCTAGAGGACGCAGAAGGCGTGTTTCCACGCTCGGGGGCGTCTCGTAGCACGTCGTAACTGCTGGCACCAGATGTCGGATCAACGTTGCCGAAGGATCGTGGTCGCGGTGGCCTGGCGCGTGCGCCTCGGCGGCCACCTGAAGCTGAAGCTTGGCCCTCACCAGGTTTAGGTAAGAGGGTTTCCACCAAGCTGGCACGGTTTTGCCTTCGGAGTCGCGGTCGTCTGGAAGTTAAAATGGTTCAGCAAAACGACATTTACCAGGTTCGGTATCGAGGTGGTTCTTAACACCTTTGCTTCTCGTAAAATCCCTCTGGCATGCGGGACATGGCCAATATACAGAGATGGAATCATTATATTTACACTGCGTAGGGTCTCTGTTATGGCTAGGACTGCCCTTTCGGACGTTGTCGATGCATGCCGGGCAGGTGGCCACCTTTGGGATGACACGATCACCGATGCGTCTCATACCTTCGCCTGGTTCAGCTTGATCGGGAAGGTCTGCAGAGTAAGCATGTGCAAAACTTGTAGGCGCGTTTCCGCGCGTAGTATCAATGGCTTTCGCCAGATAGACGGCTTCCACAAAGGCAGACTGCAGTCGTCGAGTGTATTTTTGTGCCAATGAAAGCTCTTTGTTGCCCTGTTGTGCTTGCACATGCTGACCGTTGCATTTGAGTCGCTCAAAGGGTTTAAGAATTGTCTCGTCATTGCTGGTGATATTGTTCGGCTTCTTCATATAGTCACCAACCGAATATTTGAGTCCCGTAGCACATTGATCAATGCGCACGGTTGTAATGTGCGGTCGGTTGGCAAGTTTCTTCCATGGGGAAATATCATCCACCCATGTTCCTGTAGGTTGTTCGCGTATAAACCACCTCCGAGCGTCATCTTGGGTTACAGCAATTTTACCACAGTAAGTTATGCGTGGGAAATCTTATTTGTGGTGCTGTTCCCAAGTGTTGTGATTGACTTTGTAGTTGTAGTAGGATGGTGGTCCTGTAGTGCGGCAACTGGGTTGTAGCATGGCAACTCGTACGTAGCATATAGCGAAGTAATGATCTACAACCCGCTGCACCGATGGGTCTCCCAGGTCGACATATGTAGTCTTGTCTAGGTTGCCTCCTGAGGAGAGCCCCCATGAGAAGGCAAGCTCTGAGATACCACCCTCGCCGCCACAAAGCTCCAACATATCCACGCAGTTGTTATGACCATAGCATAGTGTAGCGACTATGCTGTATATGTTAGCGTGTGTGTCGGGCATAAATGTGGGGAGGGTAAGGAACAGGTCATCGTCCTCATCGGAGCTTATCAGCTCAATAGGGACGTCAGTACTCCAGGTCGCCATGAGATCCTGTCCGAGTCCCGACAAGTCGTCGCCGCAATCATCGCTTCCGTCTTCAACGTGCTTTTTAATGCGGCGAGGCTTGATGCCTGCTTCCTTTTCGGCTTTGAGCCTTTCCTTCTGCTTGATACGCGATTCTGTAGGTAAAACTTGCTCGTTTTGTTCGCCGGTCTGTGCGCCCATTGTCGCGGTTGAGTGGGTACATGCGTCAATCGCCAGAGTCGGGAGGGGGGGAGAACAGTCATCTATGATGACGCGTCGAGGCTTCTGTGGTGATTGAGTGGGCCCGTTTCCGAGCAAGACCGGTTCCTCGGGTTGCCAATGCAGCCGAGTACTAATGTTGGCAACCCCTGCAGGTAGTGGTGCATGCCAATCGTACCCTGTTGGTTGATCGGTAACTGAGATATCCTGAATAACCGCATTGGTATCCAGGTTAATCGTTACACGTCGGGTAACATCAGACCATTTCGGTCCTCCCTTATTGGTCGTCACGTAATGATGGATGTTATGGTCCGTACGTGTATGAGTGTTTAAATATACAGGCACGTTTCCGTGCGTGGTGGTGCTCCCCAGACTGTTGTCGTTCAGATGACGGATGAGTGTAGTACGTGTCTGAGCTCGCCATTCAGCATGCCGGACTGCATGGCCGTACCAATCCAACACATGTTGTGGTATTGCCTGTTTGCATGTACATGCCCACAGCTTCGAGCTAATCGGTATTGATGACGCTACCTGCAAATAAGTACCGCTCGGTGTACTGTCTTGCATATTGAACCGAATACCGAAATGACACAAACGCATCCGTATTACTGACAACTTAAGATCGTCCAGGGCATCACGTACTGGAGATAACTTCCAAACATATCCTTGGGGACCAAATCTAATGATTGTCATACGGAGTTTCTTGGCTTTTATCAACAGGTTCTGGATGCGTGACCAATGTGGGGCCACTCTCTTTCCTGGAGTTCGTAAATGCCAGTCACCCGGGGTGCTAATCCATATGAGAGTGTAATCTCCACTGATCACCGCACCCAGGCAATCTGTGCCCACGCTTGTCATCAGCTCATTGTGGGAAATACGGTCACAGATATAACCTCGGGTGCGGAGGTCGGCGCAAGCCTCTCTCGTATCTTCAATGACAAAAGCCCTCTTACTAAGGCAGGTTACCCCGCTGCCCTTGTTGCCCCCCCGGCTTTTCGACCAACAGGCAAGACGACGAGGGGGCGACGTCGCCCTGCCATCTTCAAGATAAAGAAGATGTGCCTGCAATGTCTGCCAGCATCTGGGCTTCCCTCAGATGTTGGAGCTCAGCACTGCAGCGCGCCGTGGCCTCAGAGGCGGATTGCTCCGCAAATGCTGTCAGCATGGATGGATTATCCATCAGCTGTTTCAGCGCGCCTTTGGACCTAGCGTCGCTGACCGTCTGCAGCTCACGGTTAGTGTACCCCATCACTATCTTCCGGCGGGACCGTACAGCGCCCATGGGTACACTTCCACCATGCTGGGCCAGTGTCCTGGCAACGAAGCAATCGAACGATTCAAGATCGTCGATGTTGTCGCCTCGCATAGTGGCCTTGGCGAGCGTCTCCATCAACCCCTGAGGCAGGTTTCCCTGCAATTGCTCGCGCTCCTGCGCCGGGGTCGGCTCGCCCGTCAGCACCGTCTGGAATGACGTGCTGCTTGAGCTCGAGGCGGGTTGCCCCGCAGCTCCAAAACGATCACACCTGATCGACAGATGCCCTGACGGCAACTTCGTCGTCGGCATGATATTGGAGCCCTCGGGGAGCTCCATTTTGACCTGCCCCTTTCCAGGGAATATCAGCTTCTCCTGGCCTCGTTCAAGCACGATGATCGTGCGTTTGTCCTGCGTACTATCGAGGCCTAGGATGGCTGGCAGGTCTTTGCCACAGCCTGACACAATGTTCGTCTTATATGAATCGAGCTGGGTCGACCCCTGGTACTCGCAGGCAATACTGAATGTGCCTACGGTATCCGCTGGGGCCGACCCTTCTCCCACTCCGTTGGTATTCAAACGAGAGCGGGGCTCGAACGTACAAGTACGACCGTGTGCCTCAGCAGCCTGGACGAACCTGCGGCTCGTGTTCTCGCCCATGATGTTGATCTTCGAGCCTACATCGATGAGGATGGAATTTCCACCATCATCCAGGAACGTCTTACTCGGCTGCTTGATGCGCACCGTTTCTGAAGTGTCGGCTCTGCCGTCAGGCGGGTTTCCCCGCGAGTAGGTCGCACTCCCTGGCGGGTTGCCCCGCATGACGCTGGCATACGGCCTGCCTTCGGCCATGCGCACCAGGTCGATGTACTGGAAGTACGACACGTGCTGGAAGTGATCGCCGCGCTCCTCCCGCCAGTTGGCATGCTCATCACGTATGCTCTTATACTAATACTGCTCGCGCCATTTATCACCATCACCATCACCATAAGCATCATCACCACCACCATCATCATGGTGATCATTATCATCACCACCACCACCACCACCACCACCATCATCATCATCATCCTCATCAGCATGGTCAGCATCATCATCATCAGCGTCAGCATCATAACCATCATCATCACCATCATCATCGTCGTCGTCAGCGTCGTCTTCGTCGTCAGCGTTACCACTATCATCATCAGCATCAAACTCACCAGCGTCGTCATGTGGATCATCATCATCATCATCAGCAGCAGCAGCATCATCAGCATCATCAGCATCATCACCCTCACCATCACCATCATCAACATCAGCATGATCATCATTAGTACCCGAATCACCACCACCCACATCATCATCAGCATGGCCCTCAGCAATATCACCATGGGAATCATCATCAGCATGGCAATCAGCATCATCATACTCATCATCATACTCAGCAGCATCATCGGTATCATTCGCATCACCATCGTCAACACCAACATAATCCTCGACATCATCATACTTCCCACCACAATCGCCGTCGTCATCATCATCATCACCATGATCATCATCATCATCATCATCATCATCATCATCATCATCATCATCATCAACAGCATCAGCATCAGCATCATCACCAGCATCATCGTCAACAACATAAGTAGCATCATCATCATCGTCACCGTCATCCCCGTCATCCTCGTAAGTCTCAGCATCCTCATCATCATCCTCATTACCCTCATCATCCTCATCATCCTCATTACCCTCATCATCCACATCCTCCTCATCCTCCTCCTCCTCCCCATGCTCCTCCTCCTCCTCCTCCTCCTCCTCCTCCTCCTCCTCATCGGCGGCGGCGGCGCTGACGGCGGCGGCGGCTCGGGCAGGCGGTCGGCCGAGAGGCACGACGAGGGGCACCCCTCCCCGCGCCTCGGTCGGCTTGCTCCACGCCTCGGCGGCCGCGCAGCGCCCCGTGCGGAGGTCGTCGTCGTCGTCCTCGTCGTCGTCGTTGCCGTTTGGTCGCCGTAGCTGTGGCCGTGGACGTCGCACCGTCCGCTGCCGCCGTCGACGTGATCGTGGCCGTCGTCGGAGGGCAGAGTGAGTAGGACGACAGGGGAAGGGTTGGAGTGGGGAGGAGGGGGTGGGCGAGGGGGAAGGAGGAGAGGAAGGAGAATGGGGAGGGAGTGGGGAGGGGACAGAGCAGGGAGGAGCATAAAAAGCGAGGGAGAGGAACGGATGAGGAGGAGCAGAAAAGAATGATAATGCGGAGGAACAGGGGGGCAGGAGGGATGAGCAAAGGATAGTGGGATGAGATTACTTGGGCTCTGCCTTCAATTTGATCGAGGCCCTCAGTGATGACGCCAAGAGAAGGCCACGACGTCGTCGTCGTTCTCCTCCTCCTCGTTCATGTCGTCGTCGCCATTGCTCCCACCTTCATCATCCTCCTCCTGCTCCTGCTGTTACTCCTCCTCCTCCCACTTCATCATCCTCCTGCTCCTGCTGTTACTCCTCCTCCTCCCACCTATCTCTTCATGATCCTTCCTCCTTCCCCTCCTCCGTCTCCAGATTCTCCTCTGCAGCCTACCCCTTCGACGGAAGGGTCAGCAAATTCTTTCCTGGGTCTGCTCAAGTTGATTCCGAGCTTGGGCCTGACGCCTGATTCACTTCTCTGTTCCAATGCATGGTCCTTCAATTTCCTGAGCAAGGCAATTCGCCTGGCGATCGTTTTGAGATAGGCTTCGGGGTGCGCGAAGCGTCAAGAGTTCGCCGAGCCCCCGCTTGCTGGCGGTGAGAAGGCGTGTGAGATAATTGGCTGCCCCTCTCCCCCTTTCCCCCCTCCCCTGGGGTCAAACATCTCATTAGAGGGGGGAGGTGGGAGAGGCGGGGGGGTTCGAGCTTGCCAAAGCACCCCAGGGGCCCTCCCGAGCCTCCAAGGAGCCGAAACAATCCAAGAACACATCGAGATGCCCAAGGTAACCCCGCCACAGTCCAAGATGGCTTCAAGATGGCTTACGAGGTCCGGTCCGCAAGACGGCCCAAGAGGGCCACCACGAGAACCCCAAAAGGCACCATCGTTTCAGTCCACCTATCGGTTTTGGCGTTGGTTCTTTTTCCAGGGGAACTCCCCCTGGGGCGTCGGCCCGTCCCGCCAGGGTGCCTATCTCGTCGGATGTTCCGCTCAAGATGGCCCAAGATGGCCTCCAAGATGCCTCCAAGACGGCCAAGATGGCCTCCAAGACGGCTAAGATGGCCTCAAGACGCCTCCAAGACGGCCCAAGATGCACTCAAGACGCCCTACGATAGCCTCAAGATGGCCCAAGACAGCCTCAGAAGCCCCCAGGAGGCCTCCAAGACGGCCCAAGACGGCCCAAGGAGCCTCCAAAAGGCCCTCCAGGCAGGCCCAAAGAGGCCAAATTCATTGATTGTCCCTAGGTGCTTGAATGATTTTGGCATTTGCGTCGTCTCGGCATCCCGACGGCTCAAGACGCCCAAGAGGCCCCCAATATCGCTCCAAGACCACCCACGAGGCCTCTAAGAAGGCCCCATGACGGCCCAAGAGGCCTCCAAGACGGCCCAAAGACAGCCCAAGAGACCTCCAAGACGCCCAATATTGCCTCCAAGACGGCCCCGAAGCGCCCCAAGAGGGCCCCAAGTCGGTTCAGAGAGGCCCCTAAGACGGCTCCCGACGGCGTCAGACGGGCCAGGAGCCTACCAAGATGGCCGAAGTTGGCTCGAAGCTGGCCCAAGGCGGCCCAAGAGGCTTCCAAGGGGGCCCCCAGGAAGGAATGAAAAGGCCCAAAACAGAGATTTCCCTTAGGTTTTTGACGGAGTGTGACATTTGCTTCTTTCAGCCTTCCGGCGGCCCGAGACGGCCCAACAAAAAACCCAAAGATCGCCCAAAGATCGCCCAACGATCGCCCCAGATGCCTCCAAGATGGCCCCAGAACGGCCCAAGAGGCCCCCAAAACGGCCCCAAGATGCCTGTTTCGTCCTGCATCATCCCTCCTCCTTCTCCTGGCAATCCTCCTCCTCCTCGTCCTCGTGCGGAACACGACCCAGAGGAAGCGCACGACGTGCGTCCCAGCCGATACGCGCCGGATGACGACCCAGAGGAAGCGCGCGCCGGAGGATGACCCGGAGGAACCACGTGAGCTGCGGGACCCATAGGAAGGCTCCCGCCTGACGCGTCCTCACAATTCACTCACAGACGAGGCTCCCGCTTGATACTTCCTCCAAATTCAGACCAGAGGAGCCCAAAAGTGACGACAGTTACAGGAATCCGATGACCCGCTCGGATTAGTAACATGATCTGCGGGCACCATAGGGAGGGGGCCCCCGCCTGAGACTTGCTCGCAATTCACTCACAGACGAGGCTCCCGCTTGATACTTCTTCTAAATTCAGACCTGAGGAGCCCAAAAGTGAGGACAGTTACAGGAATCCGATGACCCGCTTGGATTAGTAACATGATCTGCGGGCCCCATAGGGAGGGGGCTCCCGCTTGAGACTTCCTCACAATTCACTCACAGACGAGGCTCCCGCCAGATACTTCCTCCAAATTCAGACCTGAGGAGCCCAAAAGTGAGGACAGTTACAGGAATCCGATGACCCGCTTGGATTAAAAACATGATCTGCGGGCCCCATAGGGAGGGGGCTCCCGCCTGAGACTTCCTCACAATTCACTCACCGACGAGGCTCCCGCTTAATACTTCCTCCAAATTCAGACCTGAGGAGCCCTAAAATGACGACAGTTACAAGAATCCGATGACCCGCTCGGATTAGTAACATGCTCTACGGGCCCCATAGGGAGGGGGCTCCCGCCTGACGCGTCCTCACAATTCACTCACAGACGAGGTTCCCGCTGATACTTCCTCCAAATTCAGACCTGAGGAGCCCAAAAGTGAGGACAGTTACAGGAATCCGATGACCCGCTTGGATTAATAACATGATCTGCGGGCCCCATACGGAGGGGGCTCCCGCCTGAGACTTGCTCGCAATGCACTGACAAACGAGGCTCCCGCCAGATACTTCCTCCAAATTCAGACCTGAGGAGCCCAAAAGTGACGACAGTTACAGGAATCCGATGACCCGCTCGGATTAGTAACATGATCTGCGGGCCCCATAGGGAGGGGGCTCCCGCCTGAGACTTCCTAGCAATTCACTCACAGACGAGGCTCCCGCTTGATACTTCCTCCAAATTCAGACCTGAGGAGCCCAAAAGTGACGACAGTTACAGGAATCCGATGACCCGCTCGGATTAGTAACATGATCTGCGGGCCCCATAGGGAGGGGGCTCCCGCCTGAGACTTCCTCACAATTCACTCACAGACGAGGCTCCCTCTTGGTGGATGATGGTGATGGGATGATGACGACGATGATGATGATGATGATGATGATGATGATGATGATGATGATGATGATGATGATGATGATGATGATGATGATGATGATGATGATGATGATGATGATGATGATGATGGTGGTGGTGGTGATGATGACGACGTGATGATGATGATGGTGGTGATGATGAGTGCTGATGGTGAGTGATCGTGCGATTATGATGGTAAATGGTGGTGATGATGATGGGGACGAAGTGGTGAGTCAGCGAGTAGTGATGATGATGATGATGATGATGATGATGATGATGATGATGATGATGATCGTTCGATGCCGATGATGGTGAGTGATCGTGCGATGGTGATGGTGATGCTGATGATGAGTAGGGAGTGATGGTGATGGTGATGATGATGCGGAGGAGGAAGCAAAAAGGAGCAGAGGAGAGGGAGGAGGACGAGAGATCCTGCGCGGAGGGTGTGCAGAGAAAACAAGAACCCCACTTAGGATGTGGGGAAAAACATAGGGGATTTGCCACATTTCTGAAATTCGGTGCCACCCCTCACGCAGATCCGCGAGGTCAGGGTCCAAAAACACAGGGGAGTTGCCACATTTCTGAAATTCGGCGCCACCCCTTACGCAGATCCGCGGGGTCAGGGTCCAAAAACACATGTGATTTGCCACATTTCTGAAATTCTGTGCCACCCTTCACGCACATCCATCGCAAGGCGTGGTAACCCAAACTGCGAGAACTCCCTCGGCTCTTTGATCGCAAGGTGTGGTAACCAAGCCCGTAAACCATACACGTCTTACCAATCGCCAGGTGTGGTAACCCCTCTTGTGATCAGTTGGTTTTGCTGATTGCGAATCGGCTTCGCATGAAGTTTCGATACTGCTTCACGACAGCGCCAAGGCCTCATGACTTAGCTCTTCCATGGCCCATTCTCCGAGAGAGGGGGCCGGCGGCAGGGGGCGAAGCCCTTACGGATTACCACAGAAGGAACGCGCCTATATTATCACAGAAGGAGCGCGCCCTGTGCCTACACAAAATATGGTGTGGCATTTGCTCATGACCCGTATGGTCACTCGAACATTGCCATTGCAACTGACGACACGGAAGAAGGAGCCTCGCTGCTCGCAATCTCTTCCGACAGAGACACAGGCCTATTACAATCCGCTTGGGGAGTCATGGCATCTTTGTGGTCGTCTTCACCCAGCAAGCCTCCGACGGCAAAACCTGCTCGCCCTAAATGCTTCACGTACACATTCAAATACAGGAGTCCACTGTCCGTGCGTCCATGAACGACTTTCAGCTGAACCGCACCAAGGGTAGTCCATGATGGACTCTCGACTGCACTTTGCGATGCGTCGTAATGGTACCCTCCAACTTGTTTGACCTCTGCCCAAGACCCTGTGACGTTCACTTGTTGAAAATACATTTCCGCGCAATGTCCACCCAATCGGCGCGCATCCGCCTCAACGCGAAGCAATGCGCGTGTCTGCCTCCCGCGAGGGATGTTCACCAGAATATGCTTGCCCGGCTTCATCACATCGAATCGCTGGCCAAGAACGTTTTGCAGGTGGGGATCGCCAGTGGCAGCCACACCGCCAGCTCCGCCCGCCATGGGAGCTCCAGGAGGAAACGTCGGGTGTGGCGTCGGCCAGCCCGCAGGATACGTCGGGCTGGGCGTCGGGCTGGCCGTGGGGAAGGGCGTCGGGAAGGCTGTCGGGTAGGCTGTGGGAAAGGCTGTCGGATAGGACGTTGGGAAAGCCGTCGGGTAGGGCGTCGGGAAAGGCGTGGGGAAAAGCGTCGGGTAGGGCGTAGGGTGGGGCGTCGGGTAGGGCGTAGGGTACGGCGTCGGGTAAGCCGTCGGGTAGGGCGTCGGGAAAGGCGTGGGGAAAAGCGTCGGGTAGGGTGTAGGGTGGGGCGTCGGGTAGGACGTAGGGTACGGCGTCGGGTAGGGCGTCGGGTATGGCGTCGGGTATGACGTCGGGCTTGGAGTCGATACCACCTCTGAGCCGAAGGCCTGGAAGTAGTTCAGGCCACCGCTATACCCGTAGTAGCTGTCCATCACGAACTTGACGTATCGGATTCCACTCGAAGGGCCGGAGTTCGATATGACAAGGGGGATTCCCGATATCGGAGAACATGCTGTCAGTCTTCCCGAAGCGGCGAATTTATAGCTGACGGCGTCGCTGGACACATATATGCTGTAATCCTTGGTGGACCGATCGTTGTGTGGCGTGTTGCACGTGTTGAGGAGCTGGAACTCCGTCACAGTGGACGAGCTGTCCAGCATCAAGGTGAACCACGATGTTTGCCCGTTGGGGGACAGCCACGTCTGCTGATTATAATGACTGCCACCCTGCCATGTCGGATCCAGAACGGCCGACGGTGGGAACCGGTGATCGTAGTAGGGCCCATTCGCGTATATGGATGCACCCAGCGCCGTAGGCGTAGAGAAAAATTTGGTTGCATATGTGTGGGTCACGTATTGCTCATGGACCTCCCGTTCTTGGACAGACAAGGCGCCTACCTGGCCCAGGAAATTGAAGAGCGAAACGATGCCACACGACTTCATGTCAACGGGACGAGAAGGGCCACCTCAGAGTGCAGGTACGCAAGCTGCAAACTTTGATGCAAGATGTATCTTGAATCTAAATGCCTGCGGGTGGGCTCAACCACTTGCGTGTTGGTCTCGGTCCAGACCTGCGAACAGTCGAAAGTGAGCCTGGTAACTCAAATAGCATCCGCTCCCATGGGAATCGAATGGCAGATAGCGTCCATTACCCTGCTGGGGTGGTTCAGTATGGGGAATGGACGGGTACACCGGACTCACTTCTATAGCGTTCACTTCTATAGTGCTCACTTTGAAATTGTGGTCCGGAAGGGGCCGCACATGCAGGCACATGCCGCACAGTCGCATGCACATGCCCATGCAAATATACAAAAGCCTCAACAGCATTGCCGCACATGCGCGCACATGCCACACCGTCCGACGCACAGTCGAATGCACGGTCAAGCAAAACTCTGAAAGCATAGACGCACATGCCCGCACATGCCGCAGAGATGTCGCAGGCGATAGTGGCCTGACCACCTGAGCTCGGGGCATTTCGCAACCCAGAGTTCCGAGGATGTCTCAGGCAAGCGTGGCCGGATCACCATGGGGCAGGGCATCTTGGAAACCAGAGTGGCGAGGATGTCGCTGGTCAAGGTGACCAGACGACCATGGGGCAGGACACCTCCGAGGTCTGAGTTGTGAGGATGTCTCAAGCGAAAGTGGCCTGACCACCATGGGGCAGGAGATCTCTGAGGTCAGAGTTGCGAGGATGTCTCTGGGGAGAGTGGTCTGACCACCTCAGCCCAGGGCATCTCGGAGCCCAGAGTTGCGAGGATGTCTCAGGCAGGACTGGCCTGACCACCTGCTCAGGGCATCTCAGAACCCAGAGTTGCGAGGGTCTCAGGCGAAAAAGGCCGAGACACTATGGAGCAGGGCATCATTGAGGTCAGAGTTGCGAGGATGTCTCAGGCAAAAGTGGCCTGAACAGCTCAACTCAGGGCATCGCGGGCGAGGATGTCTAAAGCGAAAGTGGTCTAACCACCTCAACTCAGGGCGTCTCGGAACCCAGAGTTCCGAGGATGTCTCAGGCGAAAGGGGCCGAGACACTATCGAGCAGGGCATCATTGAGATCAGGGTTGCGAGGATGTCTCAGGCGACAGTGGCTGACCACCTCAGCTCGGGGCATATCGGAATCGAGACTTGCGAGGATGTCTCAGGCGACCGTGGCCTGACCAGCATGGGGCAGGAGATCTCTGAGGTCAGAGTTGCGAGGATGTCTCATGCGAAAGTGGTCTAACCACCTCAGCTCAGGGCGTCTCGAAACCCAGAGTCCCGAGGATGTCTCAAGCGAAAGTGGCCGGGCCACCATGGGGCAGGGCATCTCCGAGACCAGAGTTGCGAGGATGTCTCAGGCGAAGGTGGCCAGATCACTTCATGTCAAAGCACGTCGGCCTCCAAATTGCCGACGACGTCTCACGCGGAACTGGCCGGACGCGAACGCGCCGGCGTCCGGAGACGAACGCCGGCCCCGGCATTCTTGCACGTCCCGCACATGCACTGCACAGGTACGCACAGTATTCGCACAGGCCGAGCTCGCCGGTGGCCGAGCCAGGCCAGCGATTCCGAGATTCCCTGAGCTCGGGCCGTCAAGCCACTTTCGCCTGAGACAGCCTCGCAACTCTCACCTCCTCCTCCTCCTCCTCCTCCTCCTCCTCCTCCTCCTTCTCCTCTGGCCGAGCCGAACAGGCAGGCTGGCCAGTGGCCGGGGGCGCCCGCCTCCTCCGCCCCCCCCTCCTCCCCCCCCACTCCACCTCCCCCCCCCCATCCCTGCTTCTCCAGCCGAGCTGAGAAGGCGCGCGGGAGAGTATTTTATTAGGCGGGCGCGCCACCGCCAGCTCACGAACCGGGCGAATAACCGCCCCCGCCAGCACCCGCCGCCTCCGCCGAGGCCAGCTCCCGCCGTCCTCCCTGCCCTCCGCGCCGGCCGGCCGCGGCCGGCGGGGCGGGGCGCAGGAGCAGGGGACGTTCGCGGAGGAGGAGGAGGAGGAGGAGGAGGAGGAGGAGGAGGAGGAGGAGGCGGCGGAGGGGGAGGAGGGCCTCGAGGAGGAGGAGGAGAAGGAGGAGGAGGAGGAGGAGGAGGAGGAGGAGGAGGAGGAGGAGCCGCCCCCGCCAGCAGCGGGCGAGTCTAAACGCACAACAAACTTTTTCAGGAAACCCTGGCACGCCCCAGGTTAGCTCTGCGAATGCCAGGAGGCATTGGAGGCACAGGGGTCCCAGACAGCTCCTAGGGCATGAGCGTGCATGTGCATTGGGATGTGCACGCATGTGCGCCCGCACGCTTCACCGCATGTGCGTGCATGTGCGGGCCCGCGCGGCCTCCCGAAGAGAGGTTGCACAGGCATGTGCGTGCATGTGCCGATGACAGATCTGCGATTCTCGAACACCTCCCGCATGCGCAGGCATGTGCGCGCATGTGCGTCGGACTGTGCGTGCATGTGCGTATGATGGATACATCAAAACACAGCGCACATGCCCCCGCACATGCCCGGGCACGACGTGCACAGTAGGAAGTCCATCCAATAAGGACCGCACAGGCCTGGCACATGACTGGCACATGCCGCGCACATGCGCGCACATGACAGCGCAAAAACGGCCGCACATACACCCACCCAGGGGTATAGATGTGAGTGCGGTGTATGATAGGATAAGATCGATGTGTCGGTCTTTCCAGCACATAGCGAACACTAAGGTAAGTGTCCGGGCAAATAGGGCGCGCGCGCCTTGAGCCCAAGGCAACGGCGCGCGAGCTATGCTCCCGATACTATAACATCTCCCAAAGAGCTACCCTTAAAGTCGGGAGGGGAGGAGACGGAGAGCATAGCCGCGCAGCCGTTAGGCTCTGCAAAGGCCGCGCGCACAACTGTTTGCAAGAAAGAAAACAGCGTGTACAGTCTGGCCTAACACCAGACTGTATGGCGAGTTTCCTCGCAAGGCATTTCACGCAAATACAAGATAGCCCCTTCGAACGATGAAGGGCGATCGGCTCAGTTAGAGGCAAGCCAAACGGGCCATACCTCACCGAGCAAATAGGTATTAAGGCAAAGAGCCTGAGTCATATAAAGCCGGCTCGCTGCCAGGCGTGAAATGTAAGGCTCGTTTTCGAGCAACTAGAAGGGCGCCTCTGTAGTAGGCGCCCATGCTGGCAAATTGGACCGCGGGGGGGGGCAACAAGGACAGACTAAAATTGATTAGACTTAGGTTTGTTTCTGTCCTCGGGACACCGAAAGGGAACAAACTGCTTCACGTCATACTTGAATGACTGAGTGCCTGACATTACTTCCAGAAGCAGCTCCCGATCGATGCTTCCCTTTGTATGCCCGTCTGCGGTCACATCCCTAGTATCACACCACTGCACGTTATGTACTACACCTATATCCATGAGCTCACGTATCCAACTGATATGTCCAAGCAGAGTCCGCTCTGTCGGTATCTTAAGATCCTTGCTTGATAATGATTTATAAACGGACTCAGCGTCTATGGTAAGAGATACTTTGATGGCTGGGCCTCCAACTTCACGCATATCTCGTAGTTGTCGTGGAGTCATAGCTCCTGCCTTGAGCTCGTGGAGTGTGATGAGCGCAGGGTAACACTCATCAAGGTTATGCGCAGCTGCGAGTGCCTCCGCAGCATAGCTGGACCTCACCTGCAGTCGGTGTGATTTGCATAGTCCGTCACAGAGGTGAACGACGGACTTGCCTTGAGGCGAGTTTCCTCGCCGTAGTTCATTAGCCCCGCGTGTGCCGTAGCCCTTGGTCTCATCCTCCTCCTCCCCGGTGAGCTTCCGATGCCCCGAATCGCTGTGGATGTCAACTTCATTCGTAGGCTTCATCCGAGGGAAGGTGATGCGTTTCGGGCTGCTGATCAGCTTTCGCGTCACAGCATTCAGACGTCTGACTTGCAGATTGGTGGGCTCGTGGATTTTCTGGCGAGAGACCACGTGTACCATGAGCCTAATTTGAATAAGAAGGGCATCGGCGAGGGCTCCTCGCAAGCTGACGAACATGTCGGTAATGAGTTTCGTGGCTTTGGCATCGGCCGCCGCTCCTGTAAGTTCTGGGTGTGTGATAGGACGTAGTTGTTTGATCTACTCGTCCTGATCCATGATCACACCCCCTTGATCATTCTTAGTGTAGCGAACGGCGCAGTTCGTATATGAGTGTTTGTTGATCTTGCATTTGCCAAACACTTTTTCGACACGCTGTACATAGTCGTCTATATTTTTCTCTAGGCCTGTCATGTTAATATCATCGACATGTTTTGCCGTTAGCAGATCTTGGCTGAATTCAAACTCAGGGTCATAACTGGTCGGTGTAAGGCCTATAGCTCGTGTGGTCGTACGAAGTTTGAGAGAGAACGATCTTGGAGCGTCCTTTGTACCCGTTCCTGGTTTGAGGCACCTGAGGCAGTGTCGGCTTTCGTCATAAGATGAGAAGCCGGGTAATGTACGAAGTACCTGGGCACTTCCCGGTGGAAGAGTGAAGCAGACCATGCGAGTTTCCTCGCCGGTGGCATGGGCAAGATCCTCATAGGTCAAGCCCTTGAGGAACGCCTTGTCGATATCCATGGATGCTAAGATCCACTCTCGATGGCATGCCGCCTCACTTGCCAGGTGTCGTTGGGGCTTCCTTCGGGCGGTTCCCGAGAATGTTTCCACGTCGAAAGCCTCAGTATCCATAAATCCACGAAGGACACGTCTGAGACGAATGGTTTTAACGTTCTCGGTACCCACCTTTACAAACTTCCACTTGCACACATACCTGGATGTCATGATGTTGGAAACTTTGGATAAATCATACATCTCAAAAGATCGGTTGTCAATCCATATTTTGAGTTCAGTATACAAAGCTTCACTAACCTCCTTTGGATGTGCTGCTATGTCGGCTTTGGTGAGTAGGTCATCTTCTTTAACGACTACAGCACGTTTAGCAGCAGAGGATACATATACTCTCATCGTTGCGACC